GGTACTCAGTGTTCGAACATAATTAAAAAATACACATTTGAACATTTGTCAGCGGGTGAATTGCTTAGAACCGAACGTAATTCTCCCGGATCAAGATTTGGCTCTCTTATTGAAGAACACATGAAGGGTGGTACCATTGTCCCGGCAAAGATAACTTGCAGTTTGCTGGAAAATGGAATGCACAATAGTAACATGAATTATTTTTTAATCGATGGATTTCCAAGGAATCAAGAAAATGTAGACGAGTGGAATAGGGAAATGTCGAAAAAGGTTAATCTCCTTGGAGTTTTGTTTTTCGATTGCAATGAAAATGTTTGCATAAGCAGATGCTTGAACAGGGGAGCATCCGGTTCGGGTCGTTCCGATGACAATGAGGATAGCTTAAAAAAAAGATTTGTCACATACAAATCAGATACCATGCCAGTAATAGATCATTTTAAAGAAAAGAAATTAGTTTACACATTAGACAGTAATAGAAATCCTCGTGATGTTTTTTTAGATGTTGAAAAAATTTTAAATAAAATCGCTCCTATGTCTGTTAAAAAATAAATTTATTATATTAACTATTACGATTACAATTATGATTAAATTATTATTAAACTATTAATTTACTCTATTATACTAATAAACATATTATTAATTAGACATACCTAATAATAATAATAATAATAATAATTTTTTTTTTTTTTTGTCATTTTTCGATTTGTTGTTGTCGCTGTGTTTCGATTTAATATCAATCGAATGTCCAAAAAATATTTCTCATATTGTATTATTGATATTATATTTTGTATTATTATGTTCTACATGTAATTTTTTTTCTCTATCTCTCTCTCTCTCTCTCTTTCTCTCTCTCTTTGTCTCTCTTACACACACACACACATATGACAGTTTTTTTTCTTACTTTTCCTTTTTTTATGGAAAAATTATTCGATTTGTATTTTTTTAAAAATTATTGAGAAAAAAAAAAAAAATTCATCATAATTGTGATTATGATTAATCAAATGGTTGAAATGAATCAATAAAATTTGATTAATTAAAAGTATTTATTAAAATTTAATAATTAAATATTAAATATTAAAATCTCTCCATTGTTATAATATATATATATAAAAATTTGTTATTATTATTATCATTTTAAATTTTTATATAAATTTTATTTATAATTTTTTTAAATGTTTATTTGTCGAATGTGATTTTTTTTTAATTTTAAATAAAATTAATGGTCTCTGAGGTATTAAATTTATTATTATTATTATTATTACTATTATTATTATTATTATTATTATTACTAATATTATTATTAATATTCGAATGATTTGTTTTATGTGATTATCTAAAAGGAATCATTTTTTTTGTTTATATACACACAAATGTTTTTTTTCTTATCGATTATTATTATTATTATTACTGATTTGATGATAATAGATTTTATTAATCATTCAATGCTTGATATTATGCTAATAATAATAATAATAATAGTGATATTATAATAATAATAATAATAATAATAAAAACAACTTTTGACTTTCTTTTTCATTTTAATATTAATTATGTTTTGAATTTAGTCGATGTAAATGTTTTTTAAATTCAGCTTATTATTAAAAAAATAAATAATAATAATAATAATGATAAATTTTATTAAAATCTTCTCTCTTTCTCTTTCTTTATTTTCTCTTTCTGTTTTCTCTCTTTCTTTCTCTCTGTCGATTGATAAAAAATAATTTTTCCCCAAAAATTGTTTGATATCGATTGTTTTATTAATCGACATAAAATTTTTCTATTAACATATACTTATGTAAAATCAAAATTAATAAATAAATAATGGGAAATATTATGTAGGATTCGAGGAGAAGGGAAAACAATAAATAATAAGAAATTAAAAAAAAAAAAAATTCTTTTATATTATTATTATTAAATACAATTTTTTTTTTTATGTTTATTAAATTGATTAATGTAATCGAATAATAATTATTAAAAACTCATGTTCAACATGATAACCTAATTAATAAACACACATTAGTGAGTTAGCACTAACCAATAATAATTACAAAAAAAAAATTCTTTTTTTTAGTTAGCTTAATGTAAACCCAATTATTATTATTATTATTATTATTATTGTTATTTATTATTATTATTATTAACACTTCGGCCAAGAGAATTTTTTTAAAATATTTTTTTCTTTCTTTACAAAATGTTTAAAAAAATAATTAAATGCAAAAAATTTGATAATTTGATTAAGTACAGTAATATATATATATATATATATGTAAAAAAAAAATATACTCGTGATGATAATAATGATAATGATGACGATGATGATAATCACGGGTAATATATAAAGCCTATTTAGCACGTGTTTCATCCACGTGCTCGGAAAACATTACAAATAAGAACCGAAAAAAAAAAAAAAAATAAGAAATTTATCAAATTGAGCGCTTTAAATTATTATTATTATTATCATGTTAATTTTTTCGCACACGTGTACACGCACGCACCCACGCACTCTTAAGTTTATAAAAAATCAATAAAAAAAAAAAAAAAAAAATAGAAAAAAAGAAAATTCATTTGTGTAAGTGAAAGTACAAACAACAACAACAACAACAACAAACGCACAAAATTATCATTATTTACATGATAGTAAAAATATATACATATATTAAAAAATCAATATTATCATTATTATTATTATTAGTATTATTATTTTGTTTCTTTTATATGCAATTTAATTTTGTACATTGAAAAAAAAATAATAATGATGATGAAAGTAAATCATTCGAACGATTTTTTTTATAATTTTAAATTATTTTTATATCCTTAAACGTCATTATTATTATCACTATTATCATTATTAATTTGCAAATAATAATAATAATTAATTTTTTTTTGTGTAAACTAAAAACTGTAAATATTTGCCAGAATTATAATAATACATAAATAAATAATAATAATAATAATGACGACGACGAGAATAACGATATCGAATAAATCAAATAAGGAAATAAAATATAATAATAATAAAAGTTTCAATTTACATTGTGTGCGTGTATGTGCGTTTGGGTTTGTTTCAAAACCTTTATTAGAAATAATCAAATTAATTAAATAAGTAAATAAAACTGAGGGGGGGGAGGGTATTAATTTGCATTAAATCCCGGAAACGATATGAAAAAAATGATAATGTTGTTATTATTATTATTATTACTATTAATTTATTTACAAAAAAAAAAAAAATTTTTTTCACGTTATCACGTGAATCAATATACGAATGAACACGTGTGTGTGTTTACAACATACGTATATAATAATTTGTTTAATAACATTTTTGCTTTTGTATGTGTGAAAATTTAAATTCCGCCATCATCATCATCATCATCATCATCATCGTCAATTTCATATTATTATTTAATTTTCTTATTATTATTATTATTATTTAAAATAACGATGACAAATATTTAAAAGAACGGAGAAATTCCAATCGTTACCTTTTATAAATCAAATCAATCAATCAATCGATTGATCACTTTACCCTGTCGCGACCAAATTAAATATATATATATATATATATTATTACTTAAAAAATATTATTATTATTATCATTCATATATTATTATCATTTTTTCCCCCAATACAAAATTATTAAATTTTTCAACAGTTATCATCATCATCATCATAATTATTATTATTATTATTTTTCATATTATAATTACACTTACTAAAAATATATATATATATGTATAATAATAATAATCATATCATCTACACACATTTTTTATTTATTAAAATAAATTTATATATATATATATATTTATATTATTTATGTGTACATAATAACGATTGTTTTCTTATGAAATGACACGCATGCACGCACTTTATTCACCGTAATATCGGATTTAAATATATATATATATATATATATATATATATATATATATAAATTATTAAAAAAATATAATATGCATATGTACAAATAAACAAACCATTTAAAAACACCATTTACTATTTTAATTAATTAATTAATTATTTATTTTATTATTAATTTTTTTTTTCATTTATGTATGTATATCTATATATATATATATATTGTATTTATATTTGTTATCATCATCATCATCATTAATATTATTATTATTATTACAACTAAATATACAATGACTATGACAAAAAAAAAAAATATTTCGTACACGTTTCAAACGTTTACGAAAAAAAAAAAAATTACTTATAATTAACAACAACGAAAGTAATAATAATAATAATAATAATGAGTTTTTCTTCCTCTCCACCCCCTTCCCCTCTCCTCCTCCTCCTCTACCCTTTGTAATTTTCATTTTTTCAAATCAAAATCGAAATTAAATAATAAAACCAATACATACATACATATATATATATATATATAATACAATCTAAACTTTAAAAAAAAAAAATTACAACTGTTTGTTTTGTTTGTTTGTTTGTTTCATAGTTTTTATACAAAATAACATAGTTTATATATTAACATATATATATATATATATATATATATATATAGACAAAAATTTAAAGCTTTCGAGATGTGAAAATTTCAATTTATCAACATTATTATTATCATCATTATCGTCACCGTTCGTTCAATGAATGAATGAATGAATCAATCAATACAAAAAAAAAAGTGGGAGGGAGAGAGGAGGGGCAATTAACTGACGTCACACACTCAAGCTCATCCCCTTCGTTCCCATTTCATTCACCTTTACATTCCCTCCCCCTTTCTCTCTCTCTTTCTTTCTTACGTATGTACATTGTGGAGAAAAAAAAACAACAATAATAATAATGATAATAATAATAATAATAATAATAATAATAATAATAATAATAATATACAGTCCAGCGTGAGATAAACGTTCGAATGAATTATTATCAACAATCATCAACACAAAATTAACTTAAACTTAATCATATTTCTATACGATTGGGCGGGGGAGCGGAAGGGAAAACAAAAAAAAAACGGGTAATGGGAAAACCGTGAGAATAAATTTTTGGAATGATATTTTTCTCTCTCTCTCTCTCTTCGTGTTTTTCCAGAGCTGTGATTTATTTTTACTTGTAGAATTTTTTTTTTTTTTTTTTTGAATTTTAGGACCCCTAGTAGTATTGTGACGTTTTTAATTAAATAATCTGGGATCATCATTTTCACTCCATCGTCTTTCCTGTTCCGCTAATTCCGATTCTAAACGTCTTTCGAGTTCTTTCATATCCTCAGCGATCCCGGCTTCATAAATTTCTTCCTGTAAGGAGAGAGAAAATTTTACGTTTACAACTTCCTTCCCCTAACTCCTGATCCATAAATAAATAGATAGAACACATCTTACCAAATTTAAATCCATAAATTTTTTTTCTAAATTTCTTTTTTGCTGTTTCAACATTTGAGATTCTGACACTAAACTAAAAACAAAACAAAAAAATTACAAAATTTGTCATTGACATTTTATTTTTCTTTCCAGAATTTTCTATTGAATGATTATATGATTTATTACTTGGGAGGATTTTGTCCGTAATAACATTGTACATCGCCTTCTAATTGTGGCAAAGTAGGAACCGAAAATCGTCCTAGCCAGTTAGAGGTAAATGCATTTACTTTTCTTATGGCTTCAATGCAAGAGGAATCATCTAAAAAAACGGGATTCCCCTCCGGACACTGTCTCGATATCGTTCCAAATTTGTTAACCTGCTGTGGAAAACGTCGGGTGAGTCTAGTTATAATTATTCTAATTAAAAATGGATATAAAATTTACCAATGAGTGTTCGATGGGACTGAATTCTTCGTGTTCGACGTGACTCACTCCTCTCGGTAAAAGTACTATTTCGGATTTTCCCAATCTAACGGCGGCTAAATTTCCACCGCAATTGATTCTCATCATTTTATCTAAAAAGAAAAAAAGAAAAAAGGTGATGGTTTTAGTGCGTTTCCGGTTTTACAAAAGAAAATCAGGATCCAGTTGAATTACCTGTTGGTAGCCAGTTCGGATCGTTCGTATTGCAATTCGTTATTGGCGTGAATGTCGGTGGTGCTATGTACATATTCGGTGCAGAGGCCAGAGAATAAAGTTCGGAATCGTATAGAGCAGTAGAGAGCGGAGATGTTAACAAAGTGGATGATACGTTTGAGTCGAGAGACATATTATTATTATCGGTAACTTGAACTTTTCTATTTCGACTTCGAAATTTATCCAATTCTGATTCGGAGTGAGCAAATGTACAATTCGCTCCCCTGGGACAAGAGCCTCGTAGGGATAAATCCCGACACATGCTTATTTTGTATTTATTAGCAGAATGATTTGAATCCTGTTGCCTTCGATTCCCGTGTTGCGATATGAATTCTGCTAGTCCAGCAACGACTATTTGAGCAGCTTCCAACGCTTCGGCCGTTTCTTCCATAGATGGAGCCGGACACTCTGAACTGGGATCTATGGATGCAAGATACTGTAATTTACCTCTTAAAGGAGAAAGATTTCCTGGATCGCCTGACCTTTGCAACGCCATTATGAGCTCCTGAACACTTTGAAAAAACGACTGGGGAGTTTGTAATTTATCCATTATGCTCTGCATGTGAGATTTATGAGCTGTATCTCCGTAAAGCAATGCCGACCACTGATCGGGAGCGATTCTCAATCCGGCTTCTGTGGCAATTTGCACAATTTGAGCATCGTGTTCTCTTCTCAAAGCCTCGTAACTCCTGAATTCTTCTTTCAGCTGCATCAAAGATGAGTCCCCTTCCCTTTTTGATACTTTAAAACAAGATGCTCTGTATAAGAGTTGCACAACGTGACCAATTGACGTCTTCGATGCTTGAGAATAATGGGGTTCTAATCTTTGAACGACAAACATGACTAATACTTTACGACTTAAAGCGGATCCATCTTCCAAAGCGAGTAATACTAATTTTAAAACTTCTTCCTGCATTGCAGGACCTAGGAACTGACAACCTCTGGCTCTTACTGCAGCCCAAAGATTTGCTGATAATTGCTGTGGATTTTGATGTTGGAGCAAAAGCTCTGTCACTGTTCTTTCTCCCAATGACCTTGCCGCTCTCAAAGCCCTAGCTCTACCTTCTCCGACTAAAAGTTGACAATTGGCTAGTGTAACCAGTTTTCTTTGCATGGGTCTTGATAGTACGCTCACAGTGCCGGAAGAAATGGGTTTTAGATACAAAACAAGATCTTGTATGCATAGACTAGCTTTGTGGTAGTGTTGCTCATTGTTAGGAGGTAAAATATAAGGATCTACTTTATCATTTTGAACACTTCCTCCGACTAATTTGACCAAGGCTCCATTCAGTGGGATTTTTGCCACATCCAGGCGAATTTGAGCTTGGTCGAAAGGACATTGTTTTCTATGCAAGCTGGTCAAACATCCTCTGCAGATGCTGTGGCCACAGCCTAATGTAACAGGACCTCTACTTTCCGTATCGAATCCATTACAGCACACTGGACATGAAAGAAATTCTGTCCACTGTGGTGCCTGAATAGGCATTCTAAAAAAAAAAAATTTAAGATTCAGTATGTAGTAGTAACAACAACAACAACAACCAAAAAATTAAAATTAAAATGTCTCACTTAAGTTTACACAAACAAACACTCGACACTAATATTATTATTATTATTATTATTAACTATAAAAATTACATTAGAAACATTTATTAAAAAATTTATCCCAAAAACGTCAGAGTAAAATAATAAGAATTATCGTTTTCGAAATGTTATAAATTGATTATTTTTAAGAGACAATGGGGGGGGTTTTGGTTTCAGATTGTGAGTGTAAATATGCCACGAAAAATCAAGGACATAAAAATAAATACAAATAATAATAATAATAATTATTATTATTATTATTTTGATTTTTTTTTCCATAAAGGTAAACAAAATCTTTTGTAATAATGATTTTTATTTAAACTTACCTGATTTCAATAAAACACGAATCATATATTTAATAAATCGTAACTATATTTTTCCTCCATTTTGTGTGTTGACATCACAATACATTGTTGCCTAAATTATGTAAAACTTTCACTGACGTCTACCGGATGGCGCAAATAGTTTACATTTAAAATTTCCCATATACTTAAGAAAAAAATCCGTTAAATTTGAATTTGAATAAAAATTAAAGTCGGTTAAAAATTTAAACGGTTTTGTAAAACTCATAAAAAAACGATGAAAATTATTTATTCGTTTATTAATTTTAAATCGCGTAAAAATTCTCGTTAACCGTTAACCGTCGTTTTTTTTTTTTTTTTTTTTTTTTTGAATTTCATATAATTATAAGATTTGATTGAAACCGACGCCGTCGGTGAAGCGTCGACTGATATGGCAACAGCGACGTCCGCTATCGTAAAAATAGTTATTGTTAAATAATAGTTAGTTGAAAAGAAAAAAAAAACTATTTATATAATTTATATTAATTATTGTATTTAAATAATATATTATTTACGTGATTATTTATTGGGTGAGTTTTTTTTTATTTATATATATATATATTTCGAAACGAACGTTAAAACAAATTTAATTTAATCAAAAACTTTTGAAATTTTTTTTCTTTTTTTTGTTATGAGCGACGCCGAAAGAATGTAGTGTGGTCTTCTTGATAATTTTTAAATCGACGCCATTTTTATTTTTTAAATATATTCGTTAAAAATTGTAATAATCGCACACACGCATATTTAATAAAGTAAACGTTGAAAGAGTTTATTTTTTCAAAAAAAAGTAATGATAATAATAATAATTTTGAGGTTATGTTCATCTCTCTCTCTCTCTCTCTCTCTCTCTTCTTGCACATGCCTTTATAATCCCCATTCAACAGGTATTGAAAATGTTTAGTAAAGTTACTCTTTCACTCACTCACTTAACAATAATAATAATAATAATATTTGAAATTTAATAAGAAAAAAAAAAACCGTTAAATTTAAAACATGAATTTGTAACATTCATTTATTCGATTTAAAAAAAAAAAAAAAAAAATTGTCAATCAAAGTTTTTTCTTATTATTATTTCATAAGAAAAAATGATGATAGAATAATAATAATAATAATAATAATAACAGAAAAATTAATAATTTATTTATTTATATTTCTCAATGACATATATATAGGAATAAATTTTTATTTTTATTAAAAGGATATTAATAATAATAATAATGTTATTACACAATATTTTTTTTGAAATCGAAAGAGAAGAGAAAAGAGAAATTCAATTGTTAATTTTTATTAATTTATTAATTATTATTAATGACAGAGATAAATATATATATGTGTGTGTGTGTGTGTGTGTGTGCATGTGTGTGTTTGTGCATATTGTGAAATAAATTTTTCAAACTATTTGATTTTGTTAGGTAATTTAAAATTAATTGTTTTTGATTAAAGAATGTTCGAAACATTCTTTAATATATTTTATAAATGATTCAATCGATAAAATCTCATAATGTATAAAAGTTGTTTCTCTCTCTCTCTCTCTCTCTTTCTATCTATCTTTATTGTTTTCTTTCTTTCTTTCTTTCTTTCTTTTACAACATATACACCTGAATTAAAAAAAGAAAAAAATGAAGAGAAGATAACAAATTAGTTTATGATATATATGCTATCTCTGTGTTATTTAATTAAGAATTTCCTGCCTTTGTTTTTTTTTTTTTCGTTTTATGCAAGATTAATAATAATAATAATAATAAAAAATGGAAAAAAAAAAATTTTAATTAGCAGGTTTCGAAAAAAAAATAGAAAAATTTAGAGCCTGCCATAGATGAGAATGATGATGATGATGATGATGTTGTTGTTGTTGTTGTTGTTGTCGATGGTGGTGGTGGTGGTGGTGGTAATGATTGAGATGTCAGATTTTTTTTTTTTGTAACATAAAAAAAAAAAAAATTTTTTTAACAATCGACTACTTGTTTGTTAAACAGTAATAAAACATAAATAACTTGAATATAAATTTCTTTGTTTTCAACAAAAAAAAAAAAAAAAACTTTTTTTTTTCTTTTTCTTTCTATTTATTATTATTATTATTATTATTATTATTATTATTATGGCTATTAAATTCATCTAATTAACTTATTTAATTTTTTTTTTTTCAAATGAAAAAAAAAAAATGTAACCCATTTAAAAAAAAAAAAAGAAAAAAAAATTTCTTTTTTTTTCTAAAATTTATGTAAATTTATTATTATTATTATTATTATTATTATTATTATTATTATTATTTTTTAATAATACTCTATTGTTATTTTTTTTCAATAATTATTTTGTTATTAATAATAACTCTCGTCACATTCCCAATTATTATTATGTTCGTTTTTTATTTTCATAAAACGTCGTAATCTATAACAAAAAAAAAAAAATTATTACTATTATTATTATTATTGTTTTTTTTGTTGTTGTTGTTGATACTGTTGTAGTTGTTATTGTTTTTGTTGTGGATGTTGTTGTTGTTAATACTGTTGTTGTTGTTTCTTTTGTTGTTGTTGTTGTTAATACTGTTGTTGTTCTTGCTTTTGTTGCTGTTGCTGTAATTGATATTGTTGTTGTTGTTGGTGTTGTTGTTGTTATTGTTGTTGTTGCTGTTCTTGCTTTTGTTGTTGTTGCTGTAGTTGATATTGTTGTTGTTGTTGTTATTGTGAATTTTGTTGTTGTTGTTGATGTTGCTGTAGTAGACATTGTTGTTGTTATTGTTGATGTGTTGTGGTATTGTTGATGTTGTTGTAGAGAATGTTGTTGATATAGTTGTTGTTATTGTTGATGTTCTTGCTTTTGTTGTTGTTGCTGTAGTTGATATTGTTGTTGTTGTTGTGGTGGATGTTGTTTTTATTGTTGATGTTGATAGTGTTGTTGTTGATGTTGTTGCTGGTGTGGTTGTTGTTGTTGTTGTTGATGTATGTCCAGTTTGTCTTGTGCTCCCTTTTGTTTTTAATTTTGTTCCCTCCCTCTGAGGAATTTTGGTAAAACTTCTTAAACAATTTTTATTATAGTCACATGTTAAGATATCAATCACCCTGTGATAATGATGATGATGATGATGATGATGATGATGATGATGATAATATTTACTTATTTATTTATTTATTATCAACATTTACATATTTTCCTCCTCCTCCATTTTTTTTGTAAAAATTATTAATTAAGGAAATAATATTTATTTATCGCTCGAATGTAAAAATGAATTATTATTATTATTACAATGGAATAAAAAAAAAAAAAAAATTTCTTTGTTTTTTTTCTATTTTTTTCCATAGTTTTTAATGAAATGAAATGAAAAAGTAAAGTAAGGAAAGAAATAAATAAATAAAAAAAGAAAGAAAGAATGAAAAAAGTATTAAAAAAAAAAAAAAAAAAAAAAAATTAATAATAGTTTTTTTTTGTAATTGCTTCGTAATCATATTTTTTTTTTTTTTTTTTTGAAATATGAAAAATGTTTTTTTATAGATGTTGGTTTTTAAAACCGGAAATCATCAAATGAAATAATTACGGTGGAATTATTGAACGAGTCGAGAAAAAAGAATAATGATAATGATAATAAATAAATAAAAAATAAATGAAAAAAAATCCCTTAGAAGAGAGGAGTAATGTGTGTGTGTGGATGTGAATGCGAGAAACATAAGAAAAATTATCATTTTGGTTTTTTTTTTTTTTTTTTTTTTTTTTTTTTTTTTTTTTTAATTTTCGTACCTGAAAACCGAAAATGATTAAAAGTTTTTTTTTTTTCGTTTTTTTTGTGAAAAGTAAATATTATTTTAATATCAGGTTGAAAACATTTAATAACGTCTGCATCATCATCATCATCATCATCACTGGGGGAACAAATTTATTACTAATTATCCGTCGGTCCCATATTGTTTTTACGAATGTTTATAAACGTGAGAGGTCTCTCTCTTTCTCTTATTTTTGAATAGGGAAGAGAAAGAGAGAGAGAGGGGGGGAGAAGTTTTGTTTTTTTAAGAATTTTTTATCCTGGAAAATTTATCTTCTTCTCCTTCTTCGGATTTTCCAAAAAGGAAAAATGTAATCGAATGTATAGATGATCAATTATTACTATTTTATTTATTTATGTATTTATGAAATTATTTTAATAATTATTTTTTTCGGCGTTGATAAATTTTCCCCCTCTCTCTGGCCCCCCCCCCCAAAAAGGTGGAATTTTTGTTTGTGTTTTGAAATGTGTAATGTCGTCGATAGGAAACGTTTCGTTTTGTTTTTTTTTTTTTATAAATTATTACATTCGTTATTATTATTATTAATATATGTATTAACCCGGTTTGTCAAAAGTGATTTTACGGGGGGGGCGCGGGGGAAAGAGAGAGAGAGAGAGAGAGTGATTTTTGATGCATTTCGAGCAATGTCTTGTTGATTAGGATACAAAATTTTGTATGAATCTGTGTACAAGAGAGTTAACTGTTAATGTTTTTCCCCCTTTTTTTTGGCTTTTCCACTTTTCCTCTCCTCCCCTCCTCCCGGAGGTTTAGGCCCGTTTCCCAGTCTAATTATTATTATTATTATT